AGAGGCAGTGAGGAGTTCCTGTCCTTGCTTGTCCTCCACAGATAGCACCCTCAGTACCATGTGCAGGAAATCTTACCGAGTGACTATATGTTGGGTGATTGGAAAGGAGAGAAGCAAATACATTAGATTTGGTGTCAGGTATCTCGGATTCTTGGCAAATTAGTTTTAGGAATGAACTAAATAGCTGTGTTGCCAGACTTATGAGAAGTCTGCTTCTTCCAGAGCCCTTGAATTCTCATTGCCAGCACAGAGTTACTAAAGAGGTCTACCCTTGAACTCACAGGCTCTTTATTTGTTGTCTTCGTTGCACATAATTAAAAGTTAATATTTGAAACAAGTGAAGTCAAGCAGAAATGATGACTTTGACTTACAGCATTGAGAGGTCAGAGCTGGCTGTGTGGCCAGCACTCATGCTCCTTCCTGGGCTCCCACCATGAAGCGAGTCTCAGAGAAGTGTCAGGATAGCCCTTGCCGGCTGCTAGAGGAGCTCTGATTGGAAAGGGCAGGATGGAACAGGGTGTTTTTCTGCGTTGAGTGGTTTTAATTCTTTTTATAGCTTAATTGAGATATAATTGATAGAAAAATGACACACATTTAAATTGTAAACTTTTCAGTGTTGGCATCTTTGGTGAAATTATCACTACTGGGAAGATAATGAGTGTATCTATCACCTCAACAATTTCTTGTACCCCTCTTGTAATTCCTTCATCTCCAACCCCACCTCCACTTCATCCCCAGACAACCACTGATCTGTTCTCTATCACCGCAGTTTGTATTTCTTACAGTTTTATGCAAGTATGTGGGGGGGGGGGTGAGGGGGAGGGTCCTGCACACACATGAGCATGGTTTTGTGTACTTGTTCCTTCTCTCTGCATCAGCTTTAGAAAAAGGGAAAGTTCAGTGAATGTGTTCTTAGGACACATTCCATTGCTAAGTTAAGAGGTAAGAGTAAAATCCCAGGAGTTGGGTCAATGCCGTTGCCTACTTAAGTTGGTGGTCCTTGGTTAGACATTTCCTGAGCAGGGGTCAGAGTTTAATGTCACCAGGCAGATTAGAGGTATGCACTTGTTGACCTCTCCAAATTCACAAGGACAAATGCTTTAGTCTGTGAGGTTTTATGAGGCTGCTGCGTGACTGTGATAAGTATAAACTCTATTACAAGATGGTGCTCCTTGTCATTGGACCTATGCAGGAGGGTGGGTGGATCCAGGCACTGCACTGAAGGTGCTCTGCGCCTTTGGCTCAGCCAGAGCCCTTGTTTAGTTTCCCACTTAAAAGATGGGGATGCTGGCCCTCCCTGGTGGCGCAGCAGGTTAAAGCACAGCACTGAGAATCTAAAGCTGCTTCCGCATGAGTTCGATTCCCGCCTGCCCCGGAGGTGACCACATGGCGCGGCAGACCTCTCCTGACCCGCCCGCTGCTCCCCTCAGCAGTGTACTTCGTCGATCTGCCTGTTCTGCTCCCCACTCTGTCTCTGGTGAAGCCTCTCGCCGCCCCTGAGCCTCTGGCCTGTACCCCAGTTCTGTATGCACAAATAAATAAATCTTTAAAAAAAAAAAAAAGATGGGGATGCTGTTCCCTCTTTCCCCTTGCTGCTAATGGAGTAAAGGTGCATTTACACAGTTAAAGACATTTAAGTGGTAGGCATCGCAAATCCCTGGTCGGCCCACAGTCACAATTATATAGCGACCTGGTTGCAGTAATTTTTATGGTGAATAATTCACAAAAGCAAAGCTTTGGCCCTTATCTCTGCTCACTCTGCTGTTGAAGGGGCACAACTGTCACATGGGGATCTTCCTTCTCTATGGTGTTGTCTAGGCCGCACACCTTGCCCCCCCCTTTCCTTGCAACATTTGGCTCTCAGCCAAAGGACCGTGGAGGGCCATGCTCCCCTTCTGTGCTTTGTACAGTGTGCACATGGATGGCAACTTTGAAATGGTGCTACTGTGCCTCTACTTCCCAGTAGGCAGCCCAGGGGCTCACTTCCTCCAGTTAAAGGAATTTCAGGAATTTCTTTTGACATTTTGCACATGTCACAAGAAAGCAATGCATCCTAACATGAGGGATGGATACAGCTAACAATTCAAACTACTCAGGTTTCAGGTATGCATGAGTTTGCAGACCTCAACATCTTCGTCTGGTGACCTCTAAAGAATAGAGATACCTTGTCTGTTGTGTTCAGGAGCATTAGGATGCTGGGAAAATAATGAGGGGAGTCTTGGAGGAACCTGTGAGGCATCTGACCACGGGCCTCAACAAGGTCTTCCCTCCCACTCCCTGTCCAGTTAACCAGTGTCTGCCATGGCACAGGGAGCATCTGTGCCATGAGCACTAGGCCCATGGCCACTACCAAGCACCTGGGTCTCAGGATGTGACCAGGTAAGGCTGCCAGCAGGAGTTGGTGAAGAGGTGTGAGGGGTCTCCAGCCCAACTAAGGTCTGCTGGCCTACTCTCCCTTAAATGAAATGATGTTCATTTGCCCCCCTTTCTTCCTCCCTCCATATGTTGCTCCCTGGGTTCCCCCATTCTTCACCTGCACCTCTTCATTCCCAAGACTTTTACCCAGCCATTGTTTTTTTAAAAAAGATTTTATTTATTTATGCATACAGCAGTGTGGGGTGGTTGGGTGAGAGGATTCACCAGAGACAGAGTGGAGAGCAGGACTGAACAGGCAGATTGAGGAAGTACACTGCTGAGATCAGCAGGCGGGTCAGGAGAGGACTGCTGTGCCATGTGGGTCAGCTCCCTGGCTTGGGATTGAACTGTGCTGCAGTGGCTATGATAGCGTCATAGTGCTGTGCCACCAGGGAGGGAGGACCCACAGCCGTTGTTTTTATGCGAAAATCCACTGGTCTAACCCTCTCAAAGGATATGTCAAAGGAGGAGATTGGGCTTCCATAGCTGCACAGTGACTGTGGTTGGCATGGATTATTTGACTGGACCATGGCTAGTGAGACTGAGAAACCCTATTTTATTTTAATAAATTTAAATTTAAAAGCTGGTAATTGATTCAGTTATTTGGAGAACTTTAAAGCATATTTGGAATAACTGGTACATGAAATGTGCTTTTTCAACTGTAAAGTTTATGAAATCTAAATACAGACCAAATATTTTCATGAAAATTTAGCATCTCATTTGAGATATGCTCTAAGTGTAAAGTACACAGCAGATTTTAAAGACTTACTACAAACAAAAAGAATGAAAATGCTTCATATCAAAATATTGATCACATATTGAAACTGTAGTATGTTGTGTTTTTTAATAGGCAGGGATGTGTGCATTATGTCATAGTTATTTTTTTTATCAACGATGTATCATTATTTTACATCCTTCCTTGTTTTTTCACAGTACAGTATTTCTTCCCTCGGGTGTGGTCACCATAGTTTTCCCATCACCAAAGCACTCATGGTCCTCCACCACAGTCCATGTGCTTCTTTCCTCTACCCCCACATCCCCCTTCTCCCTCTCCAACCCCGAAATTAGAGGATTTTGAATCTATTGGGCCATATATTATTGAAAGTAATGTTGCTGGTTTCATTCACTTTGGGAGGAGAGTGGTCAGTAGAAAGTTTAAAATTTCACACCTTACATATTTTACTGCATTTATATAGGAACGTTTGCTCTCAACTGCCCATGTTGTTGGATTTAAACGAGTAGGCAAAGGCCAAGCTGAAGGAGGACTTGTCTCCTCTGCCAACTTATGGCATTTGCCGTAGATTTCCCTGGTCATCAGCCAAGATGACCTTGATATCAGGGATTAAGGGAATGGAGAGAGACAGAGAAGACTGCCACTGCTCATTGCTGTCTCCAGCACTTCCTCCATCTTCCCTTCACCCTAGTAGGATGGGAGCAATGGTAAAGAATGTGTATTCCACAGGAGTGTGGCCTCGCTCCCACCTGTCCTCACGCCTGCCAGCGTCTGTGACACCTGGAAGGACGCCAAAGGAAAGAACTAAAGAACCCTTGTGGCCCAGCTGAAGAGGCCATCACAACCTGGAGGGGGTTGTGATGCTTCTACTCCAAAGCTGTGTCCCTGCTTTATCACTTACCAGAGCAGAATTAACCTCAGACATTTCACCTGCCTCAGGCCTAGGGCAATGGAAGTGAAAAATGGAAGCTTTTCTAAATAAGAAAAAAGAAACAGTGATGATGTTTGTTTGTAACCCTTACTGAGATGCCTCTGTTAGCAAACCAAAATGTGAAATCTGGTTTTAGACAGATTATATGGAAGGCAGAATCATTTTTTGCAGAAAGTGTCCAGAATAATCTAACAGGCAACCAAGCCAGTAGAGGCTTTCTACCCACTAGGGACTATTAAATTAATTGAGCCAAGAGGCCAATTAGACTTTGGTGGCACTAATGTCATGGTGACTTAATGCAAGCAAACTAAATTTAAGCCTGTAAATGCCTCAAGGTGATGAAGTCAGAACTTAAGTACAACAATCACAAACAGCTTTAAGCCATGGTCGGTCAAATAATTTCCTTTCTTTACTCCAGCACTTTCTCTGTGTCAGTCTTTTCCCAGTTCCCTTCAGCGGAATGCTTCTAGCCCTTCTGGTTTGGTGCTGTCCAAATCAAATAGATTTTTGCTCAAACATTTCTTATATGCAACAGTATCATTAACTTTACCTGGTTAAGTAAAGAAGACATAAGACCCATCCCCTATATTCATGGCCCTCAAGTTAGAAAGATCTTTCTCTTTCTACCTGCTCAACTCTGACTTATTCTTCAAGGCCCAGCTCAGATTCCTCCCTTCTCTCTGGGCCTTATCCTGGTTACTCTGCACTTCCCAGCTCTACTAAGCAGCTATGTTACCTAGAGCTTTACATACCATCGGTCTCCATCTTCAGTGAAATGATCAAGCACATTACCTTGAAGTCAGGCTTTTAAGACTAGGATCAAATGATTATGATTAACTGTTCTGATCAGTTACCTATCACCATAGACAAGGATCTACATACTGCTTTGCCAGTGATGCTTTAACCTCATCTCAAAAAAACTGATGTGAAAAACATTTTATTTATAATTTCTTCTATTTACAGTATATGTCATTACAATCATTTTTACAATAAATACAGAACTGCCAAACAGGTGATTATCACAGTGGCTGAGATATAGGGACAGAAGGGTGCGGAAGGCCCCAGCTTCCCAAGAGCCTGTCAGAGACCTTCAGAGAGATTAGTGAAGGGGAGAAGAACTTGAGGTCTGACCTTGAATTAGGATTAAATCATCAATGTAGCAAAATCCTAGACTGTCTACTAGGAAACGGGTATAAGTTTTTACCAGATGAGACTAAAGAAAAGGAGCAAAGAGACTGGAGAGCTCCTTTTAGTGGGAGGTGAAGGAAAGACCAGAAGCCAGAGTCTTCTCTGCGTCCCTCCCATAGTCTAAGCCTTGCTCTTGTCATTCTACCTGCTGTGTGCCCAGCATAGGATGGGGCCCTCAGAGGTTGAAGGGTGAGTGTGCGGCACCAGAATCCATGCCACTGGATTTATTTAGTGGCCACTAGTCAGTGGAATAAGTGAACCTGAAGAAAAATCTCCTAGTTTCAAAGCTGGTTTCTCAGGAGTCCCATAATGAGTGGCAAGGGAGTGGACAGTGTTGGTTCTTGGTGCCATCTGTCTGCCTCCCTGACTTTGTTGGGTCTTAGCCCTGGGGGCTGAAAACCTGGCACCACTGAGGGCCACAGGGACATCATTTTCACCATCTAGTAAATCTCCTATTTTGTGAGTAGCCATTGTGCCAGTTACAGTGGTTCTCTGATTTCTCACAAAATCTGTATATAAAGGTGTAACAGCCTTTCCAAAGATAGTTCCACTGCTCTGGAGACATTTTTGTTGGTTTCTGATGGGCAAGTTTGGGCCAGAATTAAGAAAGCATCATCTACACGCAAAGCTTATTCAGGAAGGCTATTATCCCCGTGTCACTTGAGGGGCAACAGGCATGCAGTGGTGGGCTGGGATGCCAGCCCAGGCTTGGGTGGCCAAGGTATCACTGCCGGCCCATTTGAGTCCCCCTGGGTCACATGTTACCTGCCTAGCTATCGAGGGCTACAAAGGCACAGGGCCAGCATCACAACAAAAAGTTTTGATCATGGAGAAGGGAGAAGACTTTTCAGTCAGAGTGACAAGCAGAAGAAAAAGGTGTTATAAAGAAACCTATGCTTTAAGAGGACATTTTCCTTGCTGTCAAATGAGACTGTGAATCAGATATCTCTGAACAAAGGTGCTAGTCTTGAGAGCCTGATAGTAGGGGCTCCTTCTTGGGGAACTAACTGGTCTGCATGGGCCTTTGCCATTCACAGGAGGAGAATTAAGAAGAAATTAAGTCTATTCAGAAGTTGTCTTTGTGACCCGCGGGGAGAGGAGAAATTACGAAGAATCGTTAAACATTCTATTACATTGGACCTTAAATACCATGATGCCAGTCCCTGCAGATAACTTTTATGACTTGAAAATGTATTTTAATTAAACCAAATCTGACATCTTCAAAGTCAGAGAAGTTAAATCCCAATTCTAGGTTAGCAATAGGGACATAGCAAAGGTGGCAGAAATAAAATTAGATCAAAATAAAATTTGATCATTGTGCTTCTGCCTATTTCCTATAGATTCAAAAACAGTTTGGGTCATTTCAGAACTCTGGTGTACATTACAAGAGAGCAACAGTATATTTTCAAGGCATAATCAAGTTATTTATAAAAACTGTAAATTACAAAATCTAACTGCCACATGACAGAAGGTTGGGTTTAAGCTTAATATTCTATCCTTGTACTTATGGCATAACAACTTGTGATTTCAAAGTGAGACTCTTTCAAGACCTATATATCTTCTCATTCTCCTAAGGTCCATTCAGTGCTCACTCAGAGGACACACCTTTGAAATGCCTCTGTTTTATGTCAAAGTATAGCTCTTGTTTTTCTGATAGCTTGACCCTTTGTGTAGCAGCTCTTCCCTGCCACTGATTCCCAAGTTGTTGAGTCCAATACTTTGTCATAATAGAAGGAATTAAGAAGGAAATAAGATGATAACATCAACACTTTCCCTGAGGAAAGAAACTGAATCTTAAAAGCAGAACTCAAGCTGAGAGTGCATATTCTCTTCTGAAAGCTCTGACAAGAAGTAGGATTTCCAGACATTTAAAGTCCTACTCAAGTCAACCACTGGATGAAAATGTTTTCCAACCAATTACCTCCCACAGTGGGCAGCTTTGTTTGTGCCCCCAAGACCCAAACCACTTAATAGTCCCAATCAGATGAAGCAGACAATTCAGATTCCTACCTTCTGGGTCGAATCTTCCCATTCATGGGTTCTGGGGGCATGGTCATAGCCTCAGCACCCAGCTAGAGGCCCCCCTGAATGTCTGTGGTGTTTGCAGGTTAAGCTCTAGAGAACATCCTCAGGTGTTACAAGTGTTCAGAGAGAGGCACAGTTTGTGTGGTCCAAAGCGTCATCCTTCCTTGGACATACCTAGAAGTTTGGGGCTTCAGGCATTGGCTTCAGTCTCTTTTTTGATGGCTGGTTTGTAAATGACTCCTTTGTTGTTTTCACCTTTTTTGCTCCTGGAACAGCAAGAACACACATGTCTTATCAGTCACAGAAGAGAGCCAGAGAACCGCCAACTCAGTTATGGAATGAGGCAAGTTTTAAATTCCTCTTTTAGGGATCTTCCCCAACTGTCTTGGTTTTCGGAGGGAATGCTCCCAAATAAAGCATTAACCCAAATGGAACCTGTGCTCTTTTCTTTTAACACCTGGCGATACTAGACCTTATTACTACCCCCAAGTAGATTCAAACCTTGTATTCTACAACTTTTTTTTATATATATACTAGGAAAAATAAACTAGGTTTTAGGAAACTCCAAGCATGAAATAAAAACATGAACAAAAAAAATTAATAAATAAAGTAAATGAGAAATCAGGTTTTCCTTCATTTCCTTTTTAGATTCATCAATGAAAAACAGATGTAAAATTTTTAGAAGACAGCCTTCAGCTTGTATTTAGGCAAATAGGGGAGGATACCTCCCCCCAAACTCAAGCTATTTATCCAAGATCGTTCAGCTAAGCGGCAATGGCAGCAAGGCTGGCACACCAACAACTCAGAGCCCCATGGCCCTGTCTCCAGCGTGGCATGTGAAGGAGGCCAGGGGCAGTAGTGCTTGGAAGCAGCACTTCGAGGCTCAGTGTTGGTACAGGGGATGGAGGCTCTTCATTCAATAGGCTACCTTCCCAGACAGGCGAATCCCCATACACACTTAATCCACCCGCTCCCATTTTGAATCCAAACCAGCTCACCTCTTCTTCCTTCTGAAAAGCCAAATGGACACTGCAAGGACCACACAGATGCCGAGAATGCCAGCCAGGGCCACAGAAAGGACGATGCCTGGTGAAGAGGCAGTAGGCATACATTATCTTCCTCTCTTCCCCTTCATCTTATCCCACAGCACTTGGGCATTAAATCAAGTGACAGCTGTGTAATCACACACAGAAATTTAATTTCCCCATCTCTGTTCTCAGATTCTGGTCTTTGGCTCAATGGACCTGGTGTACTTAAGTGGGCCGTTTGCAAACTGTAGTGATTCTCCAACAGGGGTTCTCAAATTTGCACCAGGATCATCTGAAGAGTTGGTCTAAAATGTAGACTTTAAAAAATCCAATTCTCAGAGACTTTGATTTAATCTGTTTGGAGTGGCACACAGAAATGTACATTTTTACCAAACTCCTCTCGCTGATACTGGTACACCTTGTCCATGAACCACACTTTGAGAAACCCTAGGTACAGAATTAGCACTTATTCCAGGTATGCTTGCTGAATTTAAGGCCCATTGTGTTGCCTCATCAGTTTTGTCTCCAATTCCATTGCAGTCCTAAGTAGTCCCCAATAGCCAAGAGCCCATTGTCAGGGTCACCCAGCCAGTTACCTACCCAACCTCCAACTGGGCTCAGCCATGGTTTTAGACAGTGGCCTCCTATCATGGCCTACAGAAATTCTTGGACAGGTTCAACATATACATGCAGAAGCGTGATTAGCTCATTCCATTGGTGAATATTTGATTGGCAGTGCAGCTTTGAATCAGATAGTCAGTTGAGGGTAATACAGTGAAAACAGGGCCAGGAGCCAGAGCGGCAGTATAGAGGAACAGAGACGACAGACTGGAAATACCATAGGCCCAGATCACACCAGAATCACAGGGATTGCCCAGTTGCAGCATGCACGGCCAAGTGGCCACATACCCAGACTCAGTCCTGCGTAGGTAAGGTCTTGCACTTAAGAGGAGAGGGGAAAAGATTGGAAATTAACTGAGTCAGTGATGGTCGATTTGACTAGTGTGTTGAGTGAAGCACTACCTTTTGTTTGGTTGGAGGTATGGGACATACAGGCTTTCTACGGGACATACAGGGACATATGGGGCATCCAGGCCTTAAGTGGGGGCTGGTGTTCACCCCACACTCTGGTAACTACCTAATAGGGTCAAGGCTGTTGCCCATCTGGGAAATTCAGTTAGTGATTTGCCCTTCCAATGCTCCTCTATCACTGTAGTATCATCAGCAGGGAACAACTTTGGTTTGTAATACAGCAGAAGGCAAGGAGGAGTGAGCATCAGTCTATATGAGCAAGTTGTTACCTGCTACCTAACAAGGAACCTGCCACATCCTGGCAGACTGGGACTGGCAGCGCTTAACTGGAACCTGTCACCAGACTCTCCCATTGCTTCCTAGTATTTATGTTATGATCTGCTTTTATTGTTGCTTTGGCCCCAGCGGATAAACTGAAAAAATTCCTTTATGATACCAGTCTTCCTTCTCTGCTACATGAAACCAGAGGACTGTGGTTTCCCCAGCGAGTTATTGTTGAGGATAAATAGGGTGAGTTAGGGCTTAACGCTCAGCTCAATGGAACTGAAATAGTACCTGGTTATCAAGATGAAATCCCATAGTCAGTCCACTAGGGACCTCTCTGGAAGAGGGTCTTGTGTGTGAGTCCTTTTTGAGTAAGACAGGGGAGCCAGTCATGAAGTCCCCATGGGTCTTGCTCAGTCTGCTTCCAGATTTCAAGAGCTACTCCCCATTTTACTAGTTGGGTCTTCCATCTAAAGATACTCTCTGTGTACACATACATTCTTGTCTGGCGGTTTTCAATAGAAACTTTTAGCTTGTGTGTGTGTGCCTGTGTGTGCAGGGTGGTGGGGTGGAATGTGCTTGTTCCAGCTCACTTTGGAAGCCAGGGACATGCTGATGGTGGCTCTACAGCCCACACAGGAGAGACACTGTGGTGACTGAGACTCTAGGAGAAACCTGACCAAATGTGAGATGCCAGCAAAGGGCCAGGGATTCACCACTGGGGCACTTAACATGCCAGGGGAATCAGACCTAAGAAATGTAGGGTGAAGTTTTGCTCATCCCCTTCTATTTTCATGTGTCCCAAGTCTGGCTGACTCCCCTAGAACCATCAGCCCTGTGTCCTTTCCTTATTGTCATCTTCTGCCAGCTCACATTGGTCCAAAAGCTGGACCCCGGTGTTCCTGGTCTGGCCCTAGGCTGCTGTGAGGATATACAGAACAAGCATGGAGAGCAGCTGTCCACAAAAGACAGGGTGGCCTGTTTTCTATGCACTCTCCAGCCAGCAGCAGCAGTGGCTGAGAGGGTGGCTCTCCTGGCCAATTCCCTGCCCCAGGCTGATGCTATAACCTGAACACAAGGACTAGTGTGTGGCTTGGGGAGATGCTCAGGAGATGAGATGCCCCCTGAAGAAAGCATCAAGTGTTTGCACAGCATACGCTCTCTGTCCCCTGCACAGCCTATAGCGTCTGCATGCTCTAAATGGTTGGTTGTTGTTTTTTTAAGACCAGAGGTCTTGGTCCTCAGGATCTTAAAACAACAACAGCAAAACCCCCCAATTACTAGTGGTTTCTTTTCCATGATTTTGATGAAACACACTTCGTCTTTGTTCCTAAAGTTCCAAATGCTCGTGGTGCCATTCCATTTCTCACCACATGAGCCATAACTAGCACACCTAACCACTCACTAGATCGCCCTACAGGGTAGTTCCAAAGTTGTTACTTTCGTTAGTCACCTCAAACGTCCTGAGGCCCTGCCCTGTGTCTGGAGGGGGTGCCCATCACACTGTGGTCTCAGGGAGCTGAGCGAAATCTGTGGAGAGCAAGGTCCGCAGGGATGGGACTTTTCCCAAGAGCACATGACCCAGCCTAGTGGCTTATCTAGGGGAGAGTTGGGCTTCCCTGGTTCACTGATCTGCGCTCTCAGCTTCCTTAGGCCCTGAAAACAATAGCCTAACTTAATTCAGGGCTCTTCACCTGGCTCCTTGATCCTAAACCACCACTTTGTCATAACCTCAATTGCCTGTTGGAAGTAATAAAATGAGACCAAGCAACCATGAACACAAGGAAAGCCCCAGAGACCAGGACAGCTGCTTTACATTTAGATGCAGCAAAAACAAAGCAGCTTGACTGAGCAAGCAAGAAGACTGTGCATAAAGAAACGGAATGGTGGCTATGATGTCACTTCCTAAGAATCGGATCCCTCAGCAAGCACAGGGGGAGAAGATGCTGATAGACACCATTTCCTGGCCAGCCAAGACAGCACTGACTGACACTGAATTGGGGCTTCCCTGCAGAGCTGGACATAGCCCACAGGGCTTGAGGCCCACTGAGGCAGATGCTCAGGGAACTAAAAGGGAAAAAAGTCAGGGATACTTCTGAGCCCAGGGTGCTGGCAGGACAACTGAAGGACTAGAGTTTGGAGAGAGAAGCCAAGCCTGCATCACAGCAGAGCCTGAGACGAGACACTGCATAGAACAGGCATCAAAGAAGGCACAGAGATGGGGAGAGACAGAAAAGCTCATCTGCATATTAAACAAAGAAGTAGTTTGTTTCTGAATGGCAAATAAGACAGGTCCTACCTACTGAAGAACAATCCGACATTCAGGAGAAACAGACAGGCTGGTTGGCAGAGAAGGTCCACGGAGACATGGGTGAGAATGCTGCGAAGGGGTTCCTGAGCTGATGGGAAGAGATGCGTCCTATGCAGAAGTAGAGAGAGCTACTGCTCTCCATAAAGTGCTCAAGTTGGCGTCAAGGTGAACAGAGGTAGGACAGAGGCAGAGATATGGAACTCAGATATCACACCCTCACTCAGGAAGGTGAGCCCACGGAGAGGAGGATGAGCTGCTTGTCATAGGGCATCACTACCTGTTCTCGCTGAATCGGGAGCTGCATCTTCCTTCCACTGGCATCTTGCTGGACCGAGGGATGCTGGTTAACTGCTTTTGAGGTCTTCTGAAGCCTCAAGTGTAAACGCAGCTTGTAGTTCCTGGAACAGGTCTACCGTTTTCTAGGTCTATATGCAATTATGTTTCTTCCAACAGAGTTTTTAGTAAAAAGGAATATTGTGTTTGTCCTTTCAAAGTATTTTAGGGTAAGAACTGTTTTAATAAGTGACATGTTACACAGTAATAACATGTTTTTAGCAGATTGTGGTCTTGTAAAGAGGGCAGAGAGGGTTTTTATTTAGCAGGGATTTAATAGTTCAAGTAAATAAAATCCAGTTTGGGATGGCAAAAACTCTTATTATGCTTAATTCAAGTTACAGACTCAAGTAACTGAAATGCCAGTCCTCTCTTTGGATGATACTTTGGTAAAGAAAGCAAGAAAGATGTTCTTCACAACCACAGAATCTAGTTATCTTTGGAGGACACAAGAGCATTTTCCTGATTAACACTGTGCAACTCAATGAAGAAATCATTTCTACAAATCTGGCAAAAATATTTCACCAGGTTACTTGAGAGAACTGGATTTCTACCACCATTTCTTTGCCCTCCAGATTACAGGAATGGGGCCTGGAAGAGCAGGACATCCTGCTGTGAGGAGCCTCCATCACCGGGCATCTCTAGGTCACTCCCTCTAGACCTTAAAAGGTTTTGATCTTTAATTTCTCTTACACAAATGGGTTGATTTAACACTGTTGGCAAACAAAGCAAAATGAGGCTTAAGAAAAGTAAACTTTGATAACTAGCCCCAGGCTCATGTTCAAATTATTCTGCAGAAAAGACACTGGTGAGCAGAAGTGAAGGGGGCAGGTCAGTTGCTGTCTTTCAATAAACTTGTAATGAGCAACAGGTACCATGCCAGGCACAAAATGTAAGGTGCCAGCCATGCCTGTGCTCAGGGGACTTGTAATATCTGGATAATAAAGATACAGCTTTCCCCTTTTTTTCTATCTGATGACAAGTCACTGCCCTGTGTCGTGGTCAGAATCGTAACAGAAATGAGCACGTCATTCTGCTCCATCGGAGGAGACTGTAAGTTACCCCATGGCCATAGGGAAGCCATTCAGCAGGACATCATTAGAGTTGGGGTCTTGAAAGAATTTTACTGGTGGAAGAGGGAGGGGGCACATCCACCCCCACTCTGACAAAGGGGATTAGTATATGTAAAAGTACTTGAAAGCACCTGCCAAGTAAGGAGTGCCAAGTAAGGAGGGCAGGGCACAGGTGGTGCCATGGAGAGATGATGCCACTTTTCCACTGGGTGGTCCGGCTTTCTACCTGCTCCCATTTTCTGAACATAGTCTGCTCGGTGCCAGCAGCGTGTTGTTAGAGCAAGATAGCATCCAGTGGGGTTTCCTGTTCTCCACAGAGCCTGACCCCGGGCACACTCAGGACACGTTGAGTGTTGAGCTGTGTTCAACGAAGGGACTTCTCTTCTCAGTACATTTCACAATTGCTCTTGACTATTCAACCTCATGTCCTGGGGATTGGAAGGTGGGGCCTCCTCTTACACTTGGATACTTGGAAGAACTGATGGTACTTTCCCATTTGATAGAATTTATTTATAAGTAGAAACTTTTAGAAGCACAAAGTTAAGGGTCATAAAGGATGCATTCTGTTCTCAAAAAATCAGATAATTAGCCATCTTAGTAGCTTTTGTAAGATTATTTTCTCTCCCTTTTTAAAAGGTTTTATAAAATGACCTACGGTCACCCAGGGTCTCACATAATCTGATCATGCACACGTCCACGTGGTGAGAACCCCCATTCCACGGGGGTCTGTGCCCAGTGCTCTCATCTAAGTTCTCCTTAGCTGGCTGTGGCTCTGCAGCAGATGACCAGCAGTTGCTCAGAGCAAGCGCACTAAAGAAATGATTATAGAAACTTTTGGCTCCCTCTTGTACCCCAAGTTTCCCTTGTCCTGGCATGCTGGAAATAGGGTTAGATAACATTAGTGTTTAGATTTGATGGGCTCTTGATTTCTTGCCTCATCCCCTTCTGCACCAAGTGTTGGTGCAACTGGCCAGAAAGAGATTAACCAAGAATTGGGCCCCTCGACTACTGATCTACCTCTGATGTCTTTTTTTCCCTCCTCATGTGGAGCATCTGACTCCCTGTGAGACCTGAATTGGTCCCAGGAGTGTTCCTTCTCTCTGCAGTTCCACCTTGAGTACAGTGAGTCTTGTTTTCTCTCCTCAGTTCAAATCTTACATTTGTGCCACTTGGAAGGGGTACTTTCTTCATTGCCCCCTAAAGAGTAGGAATTTTTACCAAAGACAACAAGGAATATGAAAGAGAGACAAACTTGTACAAAAGGAAGGGAACAGAATGATGAGGGGAATCTGGAAAAAGCTGCTACCTCACAGTCATCTGGCCCCTGATGAATGTATACTTTATAGATCCAGATAGCTCTCTTAAAGGCAAATATTTCTCTCTCATCTCTCTTAGCCTTGGTTGTACTCAGATTTGAGTTTATATATATATATGTATATATATAAACTCAATATATATATATAAACTCAAAACTCAAATTATAAAAGAAAATGGGGTTTGTTCTACTTTAGTAACTTACTGTCTCAGGGGGAACCATACCCACACTGAAAATGTCATGTTGTAACATGCCAGGACATGTGATTTGAAACTCTAGAACTCCTTGACATGAGTGGGCCAAAATCAGCGTACTATCCCGGGGATGGTGGCTCTCAACCTGGGGCAGTTTTACCCATACTACCCTGGAGACAGTTAGGCAAAGTCTGGAGCTATTTGGGGCTATCACAGTGAGGAGATACTCTTGGCATCTAGTGGGTCAGGGCCAAGGATGGCGCTAAATATCTGACATGCCCAGGATAACCCCCAAATGTCAGTCGTACCCAAGCTGAGAAACCCTGCCTTAGGGTTAAGTTTAGCTAGAATATCTACCCTTCAAGGATAAAAGTGTATTCTTCTAAAGAACTAGGTCATTTTCTAAGCCATGTTGAGGAAAAAGTAGGTTCAAATGAAACAATCCAGTCCTAATTGTCCAGATTTGGTTAAGCCTCAGATTTTCCTTTCAAAGTTCATGCATTTTCTCTCTTAGAGGATTTCCTTAACATTACTTTCCTCTTGGTAGAATTTTCTGACTCCATAGTTCCTGTTAAGTTTTAGAGAAAATCCTGGGTAAGCCAGATCCTAGTTGAAAACATGCCTCAGTAGAAGAGTACAAATAATTGAGTTCAAATTGCTGCAGGTTTAGACTGACAGGCGAGCCTACCCCATCAACACGAAACAGCATGTTACAGCCTGAGGCCCGTTCCAGGTCTGTGTACAGGGCCCTGTGGATGCAGCAGTGATGAGTCCTTCCCATTGCTCCCTGAGAAACTACCCCATTTGCTGTCCATTGGCAATGAGAGGGGGGGGGGGTGAGAATTCTGGCCAAGTTTCTATAATCAGCCTCCAAATGAACAGGCTTGCCCTGGCTTCTCACTGCAAGGAGAGAGCTAGACTCTTGGTAGCAGCAGCTCTGGGCAAGCTTCATAGGAGGGCAGCAGCAAAGCCACATTTGGGCTTTGATCTTGATACTCTGAGCCGGGGTACATCTGGAGGCTTCTGCTTGGAGGCTTCCCCCTCACCCCCCATCCCTCAGGTCCCCTGCCAGACTGGGAAAGTCTATGAAGCATTCTGCTACAAGCCTAACTGCACGGCCCACTCTATAAGCGCCAACTTAGACCTCAGCAGGTCTAAGAAGATGGCTAATTATTACGAATGCCATAGTCCATCATTACATGTAGGGGTTACTTTTAGATGTCAGACTCAAGTTCCTGCATGGTTTCTTCTGATCCTCTGTAACTGCCCTCAAACACTGTCCCTGCAACGTAAAGTCAGGATGGGCAGATGTTAGTGTCCACTCAGAATCACAAGAAGTCAGCTTTGAAAGGCCATTAGCTCACCTAGTCCAACTTGTCATTTTATAGCTGAGGAAATCAAGACCAAAGGAGAACGTGATTGCTCACGTCAGCCTGCCAGGAGAAAACAAAGCAAGACCTTGAACTTAGGTCTCCTGACCCAAAGAGAATGTTTGTCATCCTATCCCCTGTGACTTGAATAGACTGGCTCAGAAAACAGGGCTGATTATTATCCTTGAATCACAAGCAGAATTCTATCTGATCTATCTGGGTAAAGTCCCTTCCTTTATCTCTGGCAGAGTTTTTAATTGTATTTAAGAGTCAAAGTATTTCCATTTAACCCTTGACTACCTACATATTCCACTTGGAAGAGTGGGGGGCAGAGAAAGTTATATTTAGAATAGATCAGAGAAGGATAATACTGTGCATTGAAAGCATTTCTCAATTTTCAAGAAAATTGTTCTCAGATTACATTTTCAGACTGGGAAACTGAGGAAAAGTTTGGTGTGCCAAATTCTTGGGCAGTTCTTGATGAAGTAACTGACAGAGAAGGACATACTTCCAACCACATGTGCAGGCCAATTCAGAGGGGCATGTTTCCAAAGCTTTCTGGCAAGGGCCTTGAAATATAACCTTCATACATTTAACTAAGCTTAGTAAGGGATAGTTATAATCTCACACAGTAATAAGGTGGGGGTGGGGGGAAGTGTGCCTGGTGAGAGGAAGAGAGCTGATTCTCTGACACAGGGCTCTGACACAGGGGGCATTGGAGTCATCTTTAAATAAGAACACCTGGACCAGCAGAGTGCACAAGTGATGTGAGGGGACAAAGAGGAGCTCCCACAGATCCACCCTCCTCTGACCACTCAAGATTCCTAGCTTGGGAACAGCTCAAGAATCTACAGTGAAGAAGGGAACTCAGATACAGAAGGAGGTTATGGACACTTAGGAGCACCCCCTTAATCCTCCCCATTCCCTGCCCCAGCAGTGTCAGTGTAGATACTAAGAAAGTACAGATGTCAAATGTCCTTCTGTGGAAATCTGGCAACAGATTTCAAAGAACTGAGCTTTCATAACATTAGGAACAAAGTAAACGATTAAGATTCATTCAACATAGCTCCTGTGTACTTGTGCTCCTGCAGGCTCCAAAGAGATGAGATAGAGCACAATGATAAAGATGCTTTCTTGTTTGATGGGCCTTGCTGCCTTACACCATGAATTGCTGTGGCCACAGACATGGATATGTCCATTCTCTAAAGTCTCACGAGGAGTATCACTGGATGTTTGTGGTGTCAATTGCCTGACAAGGCCATAAGGCCAAGAAAGCCTAGAGTGAGAAGCTGGATTTCATGGCGAGGGTCCTACCTCTAATATGTCTTAGGAGGAGGGGTAGTTCTCCAGAGCAGAGAGCTTCCCAAAACATCCTCTCTTCCCCATCTCTGGGATACTCCCAGACTTAATGAGGGCTCTGGCTTGTGCTTTTTGGCAAAGGCCCAGGAAGGTCAAGGGCCGTAAAGAACCCAAAGAAGCTCCATACACAATGGCTCTTTACCTATCCTGCTCCCCTTAGCAGCCAAAGGTATCTTAACTAATCTAAAGACATCAGTGACAAAGACCAAGAGCAGGATATCTGACTACGTGAAACAGGTGTCTTGACACCACACTCCCCACAAACATTACATTGCCTCACCTTGTTGGAAGGAGACGTACACCAACCTCTCATCAAACTTCTGGACCCGCCGGAAGTTGTTGACCATTTCTCTGGGGGATGGGTCATCCATACGTGTGCAGTACAGAGCTGTTTCCAAAGCCAACAGCTGGAGGGGGGCACAGAAACACACCCCGCAGGCAGATAGATGATGCTCCCTGCCCAGGAGAGCTGCCAGCTCTTACTTCTCAGACTTGGGGGAAGCATCTGGACCCATCCCTTATGGTGGTTGGTGGGAGACACACTAGAAAGCAGTGGGAAAGCTCCCCTCTGCATTGTTAATCTAGGTTACTGGACACCCAAGTTGGGGCTGTCTTTCTATCTGCAGGCTCCTAGGAGTTTCATGTTTTTAGCACCTGACTATTCTTGAAAGATTTCTGCCTCAAAGAGAGGGAAAACTGAGGGAGTGGAAGTCTCCTGAAACTCACAGAAACTGTATCCCCCTCATGAGTTTCAGCTGGAGCCTAAGTCTAAATCAGAGGGACTTGGGGGTTTGTTCCTCTGGTCCCATCAAAAGGAATAAAAAGGAGAGTCAAGAGTTCCACAGATCATCTGACTAGTTCCGTGGAATTTTCATACTCCCACAGAGATTATATAATGTGTTTCCAAGACAGTCTGTGACTTAGAATGTTTACTTCTTCCCCTCACACTTCATCTCTTGATTCATATGTCTTTGTTCCTATCCGCCTACTAGCTACCATTTACCTAGACTACTCAGACCAGAAACTCGTAGTGAAAAGGGAGCAATTGTAAGGGCTATACTGGCCTCATGAATAGGGGTCGTTGGGTTGGGTCAGCCCTGAGCCACTGGCCCTAGCAGCCATTCTTTCTTCTTGATAAATCTAGGCCAGGGAGTAGAGGCTGTGCCCTGGAATTCAGAAGACCTCACTTTGGGTCTTTTGTCATTAACCACAAGGTGAGCCTCAGTCAGTTCACTCGTCCTCACTTTCAACACTAACAACAAATGAAAGGACTGGAGACAATCACTGAGGATTCAGTTCCCCACTTGTGTATTAGATTGTGAACTTCTTGTGGGCAGAGACCCACCAGTCTTGGCTGCAATTGGAGCTTCCTGGCTTGTGAAACACTTTAACCTGATCCTGTCTTTATTTTGCCCCTATAAAGAAACCATGCTCTTCCTTCCTGGGAGGGGAACATCCAGCAAGAGGGATAAATTAGGAAAGACAGCTTGACCATTCTTTTAAAAGACCTGTGGAAACAGGTTCATTTTCTTAGCTTGAATTGATAGCTCCACTTTTGAAATTCAGTCTGTAATTTCTACAATGCTTCCAGGTACCTGTGATATTTGGAGAGGTTTTGAATTCTAAGTGGAGAAATCAAGTCATTGATGAGGATATGGGTGATGGGAGGGACCAGGGTACCAGAAGGTCTCTGACTTAATTGTAGGACAGTTACCTGCTCCTGGGAAATTTGCACAGGATTCCTGAAGACTGTCCAGAGCACAGTGGGGTGGCAAGGAGGTGTGGTTAGGGACCCTTTGTAGCGGTAGTACTCATTAGGTTTCTCAGGAAGAAGTTCTTCAATGCTGAAACCTGGGATGAATACTTCTTGGCCTGGAAAGATATGTTGGGGCATGGTGTCAACCTAACTGCCTGTGTCTAAGGGGCAACAACTAAGCATGGTGACTGGTCCTTGAAACATGAACTCGCCCTTTTCTGGGCCAAGGACCTGCATGCTAGATTCAGTTTCCTTCCAGTCACATGAGGGTGACTCCATCCTTCTCCAACAGAGGCTGAATAAGCATCCTCACCTTTGTACTTTACATCTTGAAGATAACGGAAGATCTTGTCATATGATGGATTGAAGATGCCCATCTGCAACAAAGATGGGGTGGGTTGAACTAGAATACTAGAGGCTGAGCCTGGATTTGAAAATTGCTAATGGCAGGACTCAGCTGGGGGTGTGCCAAAGCCCTCCCAAAGGATGCACTTTGCTGAGGCAATTGCAGTTGACCACTAGACTGGTAGAGGGTTGGAGTAATGGTCCTGCCCACTTGTCTCTCAGGACATCCTCTTTCTAGTTCAAGGCTTTGGGCCTTGAGTGTTCCAGCTCTGGAAAATGAACTCCCACCCCACAGGTGTATCCCACTAGGAAGTTCCATGCAACAAGGTTGGAAATGGGATCGTTTCTTCAATGTCACATCTCTGGTGCCCACCCATAGAAAGTGCTGCTTCCAGGCCAAGAGAAGGAACCTTATCACGGGTGACTTCGGCTCCAGGAAGAAGACAGTCAGTATAGGAGCAACTTATTACCAGAGCCTCACATACCCAGTAGACTGGTGTGCATGGAACCAAATGCCAAGTTTGACCTCATCCTGTCTTCAGATTTCATGTAAAATCACTTTACCATCACTTACCTCTATGAGAACAGCTAGGACAGCAAGGCCTTCTGACTTGTCACTGGCGGTACTGGCATTGTGGTACAGCTCCGAGTTATAATAGACAATATGCAGCTGTAGCAGGAGAGAAATCATCCATCAGGAGATGGGCAACTCATGGTTCTGCAGGAGATTTGACTCCAATGAGGACAGACCCACCTGCCCAACTTGGATTGCTCCTGGATCAAGCGCAGAGTGGCTCAGCTGAGGCTGGGCAAGTCACATGAGATTATTTAGCCCCAGGCTCCAGGATAAGCAGGAGAAATCAGAATGGGAAAGTGCTCTAAAATACCCAAATATTTTCATGGATAGTATGAAAATCATTTAATATTTGTTTTACCTGGTAACATTCAAGCATTGTCACACACTGGGATACAATCAATAAAAGCCTTCAACTATAATTTACTCATATTTGTATGCAGGAAACATGTTTATCCCTCAGGTGGAAAAATTCACAGCAGGGTTTCATAAAGGCCGTATGAATAATACCAGACAGCATGAAATAAGAATGTAATTCCATGAATATAGACCTTTATATTGGCAAAATAAATTTGAAACTCATTTCCTTTAAAACAGAAACTATTTGTCATTGTGAAAATGAGAAAAAGGGAACTTTTTGACAGAAAGTCTAAGGAAACCAAATTTAACATACACTAAAAGAAGCATGACCAAGTGGGGTTTATTCCACAGATGCAAAATGGTTCAAAAAATTGCAAATCAATAAATATGATACATCACATCAACAAAAGGAAGAACAAAAATCAAGCAATCATATCAGCAGGCACAGAAAACACATTTTACAAGCTTCAACATCCTTTTGTGATAAAAAATATTCAACAAAATAAATGTAGAAGGGATGTAAACTCTACGTAACAAAAAAAATGCATAGTTTATATTATACTTAATGGTAAAAAATTGAAACTTTTTCCTGTAAGATCACAAATAAGACAAGAATAGTAGTCACTGCTACTGTTCTAAATATAGTGATAGAAGTCCGAGCAAGAGCAATTGATAAGAAAAGGTTATAAAATGTTTCCAGATTGGAAGGGATGAAGTAAAATCACTGTTTGTAGATGACATAACAATATATGTAGAAAATCACAAAGACTCTAGTAAGAAGCCATTAGAAAAAATAAATACAGTCAGAATGGTAGGCTAGAAAATTAATACACAAAATCCATTGCAGTTTTTATACTCAAATAGTGAACTAGCAGAAAGAGAAATCAGGAATACAATTCCAGTTACAAT